GGTACGCGGGCCTCTCACTGTTGTGGCCTCTCCCATTGCGGAGCACAGGCTCCGGACGCGCAGGCTCAGTGGCCATGGCTCATGGGCCCAGCCGCTCCGCGGCATGTGGGATCTTCCCGGACTGGGGCACGAACTTGTGTCCCCTGCATCGGCAGGCGGACTCTCATTCACTGCGCCACCAGGGAAGCCCTGTGTATCCTCTTTTTGCTTAAGCTTTGAGTTGGGCTTCTGTACCTTTTTAAAAATTATTTATTTATTTATTTGGCTGCACCGGGTCTTAGTTGTGGCAAGCGGGATCTTCGTTGCCGTGTGCAGTATCTTTAGTTGCGGCATGCAGGATCTTTTAGTTGCAGCGTGCGGACTCTTAGTTGCGGCATGAGGGATCTAGTTCCTTGACCAGGGATCGAACCCAGGCCCCCTGCATTGGGAGCACGGAGCCTTAACCACTGGACCAGTGGGGAAGTCCCTGAATTTCTGTATCTTACAGCCAAGAGAATCCTGGCTCAAACAACAACAAAGAGACAGCATACAGCATTAGAAGTTTGGAGAGGGATGGTTTAAATTAGGAGTAATGAAGGCGCTAGGACACTAGGATTAGAATTAATCTGAAAGCTATGGGAGTACCTGAAGGATTTCTGTTGACATAAATTTACAGGGTTTAATTTTTTATCTTGACAATTTCAGACTTACAAAGATCCCATATATCCTTCATACAGACTCCCTAAATGTTAACATTTAACCACATTTATTTTATCATTGCTATATATATACATTGATAGATGGATAAAAATTTTCTGAACTGCTTAAGAGTAAACTGTAGACTTGATGCTTTTAAGCCTAAATAACTTTACTGTGTACTGTATTTCCTAAAAAGAACATTATTTTATATATTGATAGTAAGATTATGAAAATCAGGAAATTAACATTGATGTAATACTATATTTACAAACCTTTTTTCCAATATTTCCAACTGTCCCAATAATCTCCTTTAGCAAAAGAACATTCAAGATTATGCTGAATTATGTTATGCACTGAATTGTCAAGCTTCTTTAATCGCTTAACTGAAAAAGTTACTAAATCTTTTTTGTCTTTCATAAATTTGAAATTTTTAAGAATACACACCAGGTATATGA